TCTGTTATTGTCACGTTTACGGATACGAACTCTAATCTTTTTTACTTATGTAACTCTTCCGTTTTTAGCACAAAGACACTAAGAAACTTTCAATGACTTTCTATTAAATTTGTTAGCGCGCTTTGTTTGATTTCTATTCCGTGACTAGCGAATATCCGCTCGAAGCTAGCTACACAAAGCACTGTTCATTTCTATTTCCCCTACGTCAAAGTGTAAGAACTAAATTCGCCTTCTATTAGCAAGTAGTTCAGTTGCGAGGAGTCACTGTAGCGAAAGCATTTCGGAGCCGAACGGAGTTTAGGAGTTCTCTCCCCCGGAGTCAAGATCCGATGCAAGTTACGCTAGCCTTGTAATATTCCTCATTTTTATCATTTCTAGTTTCGTAGTCTTTCGGTTTTCCTTATATCGAACCTTCATGTATCCGTTCCATAGTTTTTACCGCCTGTGCTGTACCAAGACTGCCAGCTTAAGTGAATGAAGAGTTTGATGCTGCTGCTTGTCTAAAGTTCAACACTGTGGTTATACTGGCGAACTCCGGTGCACAACACCACGTGTCTGCGGCATGGGGAACGCGGCAATATTCATTGTATCATGTTATTTAGTATTCAGAGACATAAACTAGGTTGGTTGCATCGGTTTTTTTCACATTTTTTATATTCTAAAGATAGTTTCTTTTGAGGTCAAAGTTTTTGGAGGGTTCTTTACTTTCGAGGACTTTGCATTCTCGGAATTTAGCCCTGATTTTTTAATTGATAAGAGCTGTAGCAAAAAGTTGGATTAATTCATCATAAACGATCCTCAAAGTCCACGAAGAGCTAAAACATTTCTAGGGCTTCAAGAGGCGTCGAACAGGCGATGAAAATAAGTAATAATAGACACTGAACTTATCAGACAGTGGCTGTTATTTTGGCTAACTTGAAAAACGAAATTCTCTTAGTTTTTTAAGAAATGAATTGCGGTTACGAAGGTAATTTGAAGGTTTGTTTAACGTACAAATTCTTCACCTACTGGTTTTTAAATTCTTTACTTTTCTATGTTTATTGAATTCCCTATTTCTAAAGAGTTGGCAGATAATTTACAACCTCTTTTTTTTTGTGCAGTTTATAAATCATTTTTAAAAGGCAGTTTTGAATACATCATAGAGTTGACAGAACGTTGGCGCGCTATTTCAATGTGCTACTTTCAGTGATTCCTGTTAGATATCCCTAGTCTAATGAATGTTTTTACAATTATTCTTTTTTCCAAGTTTTTTCATCTAACTGAGAGATGTAAGTAGTTTTTTACTAAATAAACACGATGCTATAACGACTAAAACGTTATCCTCATAGCTATTGCCTAACTGAGCATTGAAGGAGCTGTAGCTTAGCAATGATTGGCAAACCTTGGCACGTGCCTCGATGGGTCATGAATTTAAACTAACACCCCATTCACAACAAAGCTTAAACGTGTTTTAAAACTGTTTTTTTTTAATATGGATTAAAAATCTTTCCTTCATAGAAGCTGCCTAATACAATACAATACAATACAATGCAATGTAAATACATGATTAACCAAGTAAAGAGTTTTCTAACACATGACCCTCTGTGAACCCACCCATCCCACCCAGGGGAGGACATCCATCACACAGTAATCTCGTGTGTGGGATATTAACGTCTCCTACCGCAACCCTGCAGGAGACGGGACCTCCATTTATTCGTCCCTATCCGAGAAGACTAGAATATCTAACCATTTCTTGATGTTATAGAAAGGCAGAAAATTCTTCTCAATTATTTTAAGACCCTGAGTGTTGGTCCGGCCGGGGCTCGAACCCTCGACCTCCCGCACAACAGTCCAGCGCTCTATCCATTGAGCTAATCGGGAGGTTAGCTCAATGGATAGAGCCTAAACTGATGTTGGTCGACTTCCAATTTAGCAAATTGAAGACACAAGTTAGTGATGACTTCATCCAATGGAAATTCAGTTTTTCAGTTCTCTATTGCTGTTTTTTCATTCAGTTAGACCTGGTTTAAGTAAACTCGTTTTACTGATGTGAATGGGGAATAAGAAAGAGAGAGATATTCGTAAATATATCAGCACTGAGGTACACAAACATAACGTGATATTAGCACTACTCACTCTGCCTCCAATTTGGGGGGGTTACTTTGTATTAATTGTTGAAATATATTCTTTAAGAGCAAACTTCTCTTTTCATAGAAAAGGAAACAGACAACTGCTATCTGCCTTCATATTATTGGCTATTAAAGATAATAGAAAACATTTCTTGTAGGTGATCTTATCACAGAGTTAGGCCTTTTTCAAATCAGGTCAGTTACATATAAGTTCAGCTCTGTACTTGCGCAAATAGGGCGAGGCGGAACATCTGTCGCCTATCAGCTACATCTCGACATTAACGAAGTATATGCTATAGTTTCCTTGTTAATTTAGGGTCGAACGGACCATTACTCTCCATTTTGTCTGTCTGTGAATGTTTCTCTTTTGATTTCTTCTGTGGCATCTCGTCCCCAAGATACTGGTTATATTGAAGCATGGTTTTTAGATGTTCGTAACACGTACTTCAGGGGACAAAGGAGCTGTGAAGCTGTCGTCGTCACTTGATTCCTTCGCAATTTCTAAGGATTCTGTAGACGCAGAGTCAACAGCCACCTTTAAGTCTAAAAATTTCAATATAGAATAGTAAGATTATCAATAATAATAATTGTATTTTAAAAGGTAGATCATGCTCGCTGACAGTTGTTACATTACTTTAGCCTATAGGGGAATCCTTGTTTACAATATTTGCCTCATTAGCATAAGCAATTCAGTTTCTGATGGAGTTAAAAATAAATCAGTTCTGAAAATCGAGAGGTCAAAGTACGATTAACTCGGCCAATGAATACGAACCTGATGCATTGAATACTTTTTGTGCAACACGGGTTTAAAAACTCAAAATTTTACATAGAATGTATGAGCTCATTAGCGCTTTTGCCACCCAGAAATTTTGCGGATTTTGATGGACTATTTCTCCTTGAATATTACACCCAAAGAGCTAGAAATTTCACTATGTACTGAGGTTTTCTAGCTCTTTAGCTGCCTGAAGTCAATTTGTATCTAACATTCTTCTTTCTTTACGCAAAGCCGTATGCAAATGAGCAAAAATGTAAACAATGACGTCAGCACGAATCCGCCCGAGCGGGCGAAATTTTGGTGGAAAAGTGCTCAGTATTATCTTTTTGAAAGATTATCCGCCATCTTCTATTTTTACAGCAGCGGAAGGGTGGGGAGAGAAAGAAATTTGTACCAAGGGGCTGAGCGACGGTCAAAGAGAAGGAGAGTGAGAAGGTAGGGTAACGAATATTTATCATCTTTTCGTCTCTCCCCGCCTCCTCTCCCCACCGTCGACGGCAACTCCAAATTAAATATGGCCATGCGAATAAACGATTGGGAGCTTCTTAACGGTGACTCGCCATAATAAGATATCTGCACTGCAGGCTAGCTTAACATAAGTCCTTTGTGCCCATCGACTCTCCCATTATGGGAATGATCCTCATTCGGCAGATTAGTGTTGTTAGATCAGAGCCTACCTACGTGTCCTTTCCTTTTGCCTCTATTTCCCACTCTGCCCTACCCCCCCCCCTCCCCCCAACCTTGATAAAGGACTCTAAAGATTAAGTAGCAACCATCCCTGGTTCTTGTAAAAAATGTTCTTCATGTTCTTAAAGTTACGTACATTGAGAATTAACGGCATCATCGGTCTTGTGCGAGTCTGGTCCGTCGATTGGGGTGTTAGCCGAGCTGTTTTGGTTTCTTTTTCGTACCCAGTGTACCAGAGCACAAATGAGGAGTATGATGATGACTCCTTGACCTATTAGGAGTGTTATAAACATCCGGTTCCGAGAGTAAACTGTAAGGAAAACAAATACTTTTATACATAAAGATGAAAAGCAGGTAACGCTCGGGGGAATATCAGCATTGTCAATTAAAAGTAATATATTTCCAAAAGACATCAAACATGGAAGAACTTCAGAATTAAAGTATTGAATAGGGAACTTAAGAACAGGCATACCTTTTTAATATTCTTCAGGCAAACGCAGGGTTAGGCCTCAAGAGCTCATAAACATCTATAAACATTCTTTTCAATCTACGTGACAGCATTCTAGGTCGCCATTTTAATATTGTGTCACGCTAAAGCTTAGAAATTATCACTAGACGAAAGGCTTTGTCAAACTGAAACTCTGCGAAAGAATAAGTCTTCAGCTGTTGTAATAACTAACTTCAAAACTCAAAAGGATTGATACTTCACTATTTTTCGAAGTTCAGTAGTTCACCAAATGTCAATGCATCGTATTAGTATCAAATTAGAGATTAAACTTTACCTTCTTTATGTCTGCGAAACGCCTTCACATCCACGCACTGGCAGTCAACGTCAATCCCCAGTTTCATTTGTGTGCAGTCATTAACGACACTGCTATCACATTTGCAACCGCAAATGTCTTTGCTCCAAGTCTGTAGAAAGAGATGATGAGTTTCAGGTGATCACCCGGTTATGAAAAAGAATGCGTAAGGATGAAAAGCTATCATTAAAAGAATATTGGAAGGAATAGAATATGCAGCTGTTTGGTCCTGTTTTTGTGCTGGATAAGTTTTCCTACATTCTTTGGGAAAATGAAGAAAATTTTTTTGTCATAATCGAACAGAAAATCACTTAGACAGTTTATTTTTAATAAAGGTGGCCAAACAGGCAACATTTGAAACGCAAATATACGGTAGAAATACGCCTAATCGCTAAAAAATCTTCGAAGAATTAATTTTTTGACTATCGAGTCAGGTGGTATTAAGAGAAAACTTACTGCAGAGTTGTGCAGTGATTTTTTTTAATGTTTACATTGGCCTTCTACTAATAAAGATATTTCTCAAACGTCGGTTTTTCAGCCGCCGGTTATGAAGTATACCATACCATTCTGATTGGACAGTGCTTGGGTGCTTGGTTACATTCGCATGCGCATATATGATTATTCCACCTAGAAGAAATTATTCAAAAAGTAAACAACCAAAACACAATCCAAAAATATTGATGGTTACGTGGGAGACGAGTAATTCCGAGTTTTTGGTCTCACACTTTTACCATGTATCTCTCTGCAACTAAATATAGCACTCACAATCTCCTAAAAAAACATATAAAAACATTCCAGGCGGGACAAACTATTGTGGGGAAAGTAAAACGTGTTTTTTTTAGCTTCCACTCTGATTGTTAAGGTGTTTCGGTTCATACCTAAATCCTTCTTTACAGGCGAGTTCCTTGGGTGGTCCGTCAGGATACCTGCACCTGCATGCGCAAACATTTTCGTCCCAGTCTTGTACTGCAAGATCACAGTCACTCGGACTTGCTACACATTCAGGAGCACAGCTGGTGTGATTTTTCATGTTGACAGTCGCCCGGCGAAAGTTTTCGGCACGCGAATAGACTTCAACGTTTATTTCCTCGTATCTTTGAGCCACGCAATGCTGCACTTTGGGAGAAATTGTGCTCGCGGAGCCAACACAGCGATGAAGTTCCACATAGAACGGGTAATAGCCATGATTGATTGGATCTACGGGGATAATGGTCTCATGCGTTTGACAGATAACATTTGGCAAACCTAAACAGAAATGAATGAAAAAGGTCGATATTATTATTATCGTCCTATGAAACTCTTCCAGCCTAGATAAGAAGTGAGGTCCAGGATCCAGGATATCTTCAATTACGATGTTGTCAAATAGAATTGAACAGTGGAGAGAATTCCGCCAAAGTATTGGTTCTGTGGTTCACAAAAACACGAACTATTTTGCTCTAACAACGAGTATTTAACAACGCATTTGCGTTTGCTCTTTAAAAAGGAGACCCGTTCCGACGTGTACTTACCTGTTCCGACCTGTACTTACTTTTCTTTTGAAAGTTTGGGATACATCAAAGGTGCCTGTAATTCCAAGATGTCTTCGGGAGGTTTAAATTGTTTCCTATGGAAGGTATATCGCTTGCAAGGGGTATCATGTGGGAGATCAAAAGTGGTATATAAAATGGTTTGAACCTCACAGATGTTCACCCTTCCAGAAACTCTCTTCAGCGTAATCGAGCCTGGCCACGATTTGAGAGAGTGGGAATACCGAGTTACGGCCGAACGGAATTTTGTCGTAAAAGCCGCTAGAGGAGTTGACCACTCCGCTCTGAGAGTGTCTTACGCCCAGAGTATTAGTTCCAATTTATGACAACTAATGATCCATTTGAGATCGGCTTCTTTTCCAGATCTTCACAGCCACGAAACTATTAAAATCTTGAATTTTAACTTACTTTTGGCTCTTTGGGCAGACACAGCTACATCTAGTAATTCTAATGCAAAAATGGGAAGGACCAGCCACATTTTCGTTTCACTTTCAGAAAATTTCCTCACTATATGTTCTGTTGTTTGATCCTGAGGAATCTGAAAAAAAAAATGGTTTTATGCACGAATTTGGGCTGTAGGACCCGAAGGGGCCGTGATATAGGAATTAATATGGCAAGAATACCTTCAATTTTTACTAGTCAAGGAGAAGAAGTACGGAAACTTTCCGAGGAGAGGCGAAACAAATGGATTTTAATAATGGTCCAATAAACTTAACGATTGGTGAAATGATTTCTGAGTGCTTATTAATTACAAATCAAAGCTTTCCGAACATTATCAAAACAAAAATCTCTGACGAACCCGCAGAAATTGTGAATTATCAATTAGAGCTTGTCGTCTTTCTATGTTTCACTCAACATCTTAATCATTTAGCACAGTTAGATGTAGACCACCCTCTAAATTGTTTAACTGGAGTTAGGGGAGCTATCAAAAGCTAAAAGCGGTCTAAAATTCATAAGGGTCAGCAAATTTGAGATACATAAATTGAATTGTGAGAAGTTTTTGGGATATGTTCAAGTTCTGTTTTTGACTGAATCAAACAAAATAATTTGTATGGGTTGGATTTCCTGTCTCGGCAAACTTTGTTCGGCACACCCAGAGAGTCCAACTGAGACTGTGAAAAGCGAATCATGCAGCGTCTCAGCGTTTCAGTAAACTGTTTTTAGTCTCATTTTCAGTGCGAAACACGTTCAGGGGCCAAGCCTCGATCCCTCTTCCTTCAACTGCATTTGATAATATAGTTGAAACCGAGCCAATATCGAGTCAAGCGATGCCAAAACTCGTTCGATGGAATGTTGCTTCGTGGAATACATAAAGGGACTTCTTAAACGATATACTGCACAGGCTCTGAGGAATGTCGTTCAAACCCTACGTGTGACTATTTATCACCTATTAGGAAATAAGCGGAGCTGCGTGCGTCTTCTCTCATCCTATCTTTATGCTAAACATTTACATGAGCAATACCTTATTTAGTTACCTTAAGCATAATGAGTTGCCAATCTTTTCGTAAACGCATTATGTTGTGATTTAAAATCGAAATCCCCCAAAAACTTGGATAAATTTTAATTCAGTCCCTACTTTGTGGACGACTGGTGGATCAAAATTTGCTTAGAGTGCTAAGTGATGGTGATCCTATTACAAGTGTATTGGATTAAAAAAATAAACTGATCGGAGAGTGATCCGTACATACACTTTTTGCACAAAAATTTAGATGCGAATATTAAAACTAGATCTGATAAAGGCAGATTAAGAAAATTTTCAACGGGCTTTGACGGATTAAAAGAGGACAAACAAACAAACGTACTCATGCGTTTGATGCAGAGCGTGTGAACGTCACTGAAGTGGTCAAAGTTTATTTTCGGCCAGTTTTTAAAAATTACCTGGTTACCTTCTATGTAGCAAACATAAGAAGCTCAGTCGTGGGATTGTGATACGTTGCAGCACACTGCGTGTAATGATCTGTCTACTGAAAGAACGAAAACCTACTCGCAAATCTTTTGCAATTTAAGAGTCTTATATGCAAACACATCTTACTCCCTTAGCCAAGCTGTGGCAAACGAGCGCTGCAGATTCTTCCATAATTCTTCAGTTAATGTTATCAAATGTTTAAAATTCCTATTTTACTGGGAGAGTGAGCTGTTAGCAAATGGTTCTCGGATCAACAAACCTAAACTGATTTCGAACTGATTTCGAACTGATTTATATTGACATACCGTAGTGTGTCCGTAGCTAAGTTAATCAGTTTCTTGGACTTGGGACTTCCTTCCTTATGAAACCTTTTTGATAGAGGATTCCCTACTGCTCTATGTTTTAAAACCACTTTTGCGCAATGAATTATCTGGTAGCTTTAGGAGTGATGTGGCCAACGAAGGTTTCTTTCGCTTGCAGCAACCGGTACGGTAAATTTGCATTCAACGAAAACTTTCATGCTCCACTGGTTGCTCACACAGTGAGCAGCGAGGCGGCGAGAAAAGTACTGCGCCTGTGCGATTTTGCCTGTAGGTAAAGACAGGCAACAACAGAACCACAATTAAAGACTTACCTTTCGACTCAAACTAGGGCTCTGTTCAGCAACCTATGAATCTATCGAGTTTAAAGTTAAATGGATTGTTAAAAGCTTCCACGAGGTGACGCTTTTAATGGCCTGTTTCACGAACACTACTTCCGGTGGTCGATGACGTCAAAGTGACAGAATGCTGCAATGTATCTCATACCTCCGGGGTGCAGCAGTCTTCTAAGTGGCCTCTCGATTTATAAGCGCTCGGTATTAGAAAAGAGTTTGGCTCTTTTTGGCCAATTCAGGATGCTATAAAAGAAAACGGTTCTCTATTTTGAGCGACGAGAAAGAGAGACCCTGGTGAAATAGTAGGAACCCCTTTATTTACACTTTGTTGTTCCTCCCCTTATGGTTTGTTTGACTCTAATCTTCTACAGATTCTAACAAGCATCAAGTTCGTTCGCGCTGAAACGGATGTAATTTCGCGTGACTCTCAAGGATGGTTTTTTCGCAATTTTGACCTGAAGTTTGCACAACACCATTATTTCAAGTTTTTGATTAAAAACTGAAATTTAATTTGCCCAGGTGGCCTTTAGCAAATTAAATTTCAGTTTTATGAGGGGAGTGCTCAAGCGTTGAAAGCTCGCGCGTGATCATTTGCTGAACCGCCATGTAGGGGCAAATCTCATTATTTTATTTATTTAACAATTTTCCAAAGGGAGGTTAATTTACAATAAGATAAGGTTGTCCTCTACTAGGTAAATTATCTTAACCTTACCTTTCTCTCTCTCCTAGATCTTCCGCCGTATGTAAACTAAATTTTTCTTTTAAATTTGTACTTCCTGGTAGGTTACACAGCTTTACAACCTTTAAGGCCTACTCGAATTTTCATATTTTCAGCAAACTCATCTAGTTCCTGTTTTACTCAGAACAGTTTCTTCTTCCTTTTCAACATGGTAATTGTCCCTTGACCTCAGGGTGGAACAAGTAGTTGATCGAATTGTCGCTCCTATTCCGGCTTATTTTGGACTGATTTCTGTATTTCAATGGTACTCGCTTTTCGGTTGGTGTCATGTTAAGTTAATCCTAGCCCTTCAACTCCCACGATCTAAACTACAATCTTTCCTTTGCACTCGTTATTTGATTCAGATACCTTAAGGTGAACGAAAGAAAAAGGGTTTTGCGAATAAAGTGACGCATAGAATATAGCGAGACAACATTGGGTGCAAAAGAACAGGGGTAATTAATTTTTTTTTTTAACTGGAAGAAAGGTTTATAGAAATTGCTCGGTTTTTTAACAAAAGGCTTTTTTGTTTACACATGTGTCATCTTACGGTCACTATTAGTTAAGAGTTGTCTCTGGCATCGTTTTTGCCATCAGTGATCTTCTCACGCAGCGCCAGCTTGGATTCCGTGCCGCACCAAATCGAGCCTGGACGGGCATTCTGTTTCGCGTGTTTGTCAAATTTCTATACAATTCACTATGGCTGAGAGCGTAGCTTCTGTTTCGTGATCGAAATCTCTCAAGAATATTCCCTATTTTGATTCAACTTTCGTTGAGAAATGGCTCGAGAAAGATGGAAAGGTCCCAAAGAAAGTGATAACCCGTGGTTACAGCAATTTCTGCGAAGGCCACATCTTTGATACAGAAGGTAAGTTTCGTATTGTATTGTAATCTTTATTTAGACACGATCAATTCATCAGCCTATAAAAATACATATCACATACGCTAAGATATTTAAAATTAAAACTACATACTATAACACTAAAGCTGTTTTCCGTGAATGCCGTGCGTTAGACTT